ACCGCTCAGTCTTTATAGATTTACATTCAAACCCGGAGCCTGAAGCCTCTGTGCTGCCTTCACGGACCGCTCTGTCTTTACAATTTCACTGATTAAAATCTGAAACATCGGAAGCCACGGTGCTGCCTTCACGGCCCGCTCAGTCTTTACATATCCAAACTTGGAGCCGCGTTGCTGCCTTCACGGACAGCTCAATCTTTAAAGTTTAACAGCTTGAAACCTGGAGCCTTTGAAGTCCCGGTGCTGCCTTCACGGACCGTTCATTCTTTACAGTTTTAGTTTCACGGCTTCAAATCTAGAGCCTCGGTGCTGCCTTCACTTACTGCACAGGTACACAACGTCAAACCAGGACCCAGCAGGAGCCGCTAGTCTCGGTGACGCCTTCATCCCATTCAGGTTTTAGTTACATTTCATGCTGCGTTCAAGGACCCAGTGGTGGAAAAGCCTGTCTCAATGGACTTGCTTTTATAAAAAAATATAAATCTTCAGATACATTAAAAGGTTCACTTAAATGAAACCTGTAAATAAACTAGTTTAATAGTTTCACTTATTAGATTTGTATAGTTACACGTAGCTGCAGAATTTAAGTTTAATGGACACTTTTTTGGGGGCCAGGATTTACTAAAGAATTTATCTAAAGACTAAGTTATCGTTGTTACAGTAAATATTTTGTCATAATGATTATAAAAAATGCTACAAAGTACGACTCTGGCTTTTATTCCAGAGTTTTTGACTAGAATCATCTTGAGTCGTAGCTTTAGTCAGCCTTGAACACGAAACATTACAAGATGTCACACTCTTGTTTTGGGGATGACTCTCAGCTACTACTGGGCGATAATAAAGACCCTAACATATACATGTACACAGCGTATTAGTGAAGCCGTTACACCAGGGTCATAATGTTGTTCGTAGCCTGCAGCTTGTTGTAATGTCTTCAAGACGTCACGACTCAAACGCAACGAACAGGAAGAAAAGGTGCCGAGATTATTGCACTTCGTCTCTTTCTTCCCTCTGAACAAGTTTAGTCTCTTGTGGATTTCACAAAACATTTTACCATCACTTTGCACTATCTTTAGAAGTTCACAATTATTTCTAACTTTTATTTATAGGCAGTTTTTATGTATATGAAGAATTTTTTTTTTTTTTTTGCTTTAACTGGTTGTCATGGTCTAGCATCCTGATGTTAAATCAATATTTTTCTTTTATAAACACAACAGTGGTGAGTGCTGCCATCTAGCGGACAAACCAAATATAGCATCATTTTAAAGAAAGTGGCAAATCATGCCAATCGCTCTGTTAATGGAGGAAAAGTGGCCAAATTGTGAAAATGTGTTCACTTTCAAACATCAGTCAGTGTGAGGAGGGTGTTTTTACACCAGAGGGGATCTGCGTACTTGCGTAGCACATTTTTAGGAGCTTGTTTGAATTTAAAAGCACTTTAAGTGTTGAGTTCAAGGTCTGACTTTTACTGTAAACCTCATTTTAGCGAGATACAAAAATCTTTCCCTCAACTCCTCCTTTCACGTGAAGCTCTCAGGTGATGCGTTAAGTTTAAACACTGATGCGTTTTTATTCAAACTCGACATAAAAGCATCACTCTGACATTAATAATCTGTTTTTATGTCACATTAGCTGCACGTTGTAGCCAGATGAGATTCTACAGACGTTAACAGTAAAAAAAAAAAAAAAAAAACGAATGTACTTTTATATTTAAATTTTATGATACAATAACAGTTCGCTTTCTTCTCTGGACATCTTCAGATTCCATCCTGCTGCCACGTTTTTATTCAAACCTGCGACTCTGCAGGGACGGCCACGGGAAGAGAGGAAGCCTCGCTGGAAGACAGGTGTCCACATCCAGAAAACACGTCTCAAGTTTAGCTGAGGTAGACGTCGGTGTTGTTGAGAACGTCCTCCTTCTGGTGGAAGTAGTCTCTGAACCAGGCAATGTGCTCCTTCTTCTGCTGCACAGTCAAGTAGGGGTTTTTGGACAGACCGGCCAGCACCAGCTCCATGAAGTGACGGACCGGCCCCCGCTGAGGAAACCCCTCCTCCAAGTGTTTCTCCAACAAGACGTGCTCGTGGAACGGGACGCTGGCTTCCTCCTCGAGGCCTAATGCACGGAATCGTGTCAGCGAGCTCAACTTTTAAAGTAAAACGAAGACTCTACGACTCACCGATCTCGTTGTTGATCGGGTACTGCCACAGCCTCCCCTCCTTGGTCCACTGGATCATCTCCTCTAAGCGGTTGCGTGGCGACTGGTTGGTCGCCAGAAACAATTTGTTTGCAAAGTCCACGTCCCATAAAGTTTGTTTAGCTGAAAATATGACGTCAGTGTTATGTTAAATTAAACAAAGTCTCCAAAACACATCCAAATGATTCGGTTACACTGAGGCGACACATTTCATCTCTCCCGTACTGCACGAGTGTTTATTCTATAAGTCTGCTTACCGACTGCTGGTTCTGCCTCGTTTTCATTGGTAGAGGTGGAGAAGACGTTCAGTCTTATTACCGGGAAGATGTTCGTGCTAGAAACCAAACCACACAATGAACACAAGTTCCTTTATGAATATTACCGGACTGAAGATGTCAGAAAAGCAGTCACCTATTCAAGTCGTTGGCCAGCTCGCTGGTGACTCCTTCAGCTTGTAGGTACCCCTGCCTGTCGTCGTCATACTTGATCTGATCGGTAGACCAGGCATTCTGGGGAAAGGTCTTCTTCCCTACTTTCATGTTGGCGATAAGTTCTCTAAGGAAATAAAGTTTATAAGATTTGAATAGACACTTTGTCTCCCACTCATCAAAATATAAACATCGTATTAACGTCTTATCCATTTCTTGTGAAAATGCAGTGCGAATTCTTATTGTAGAAGAAGCTGCTGAAAAACTGCTGAAATTAGCTAAAAAATATGCTGAAATGTAGCTGAAACGGAAGAAGCCTAAATTAGCAGACGAAAGCAGAAACAACACATATTAGGTTTGAATAAACAGAAATAAGCACAAAGATTAGGAAATTAGCTTAAAAAAAGCGGAAATGAGCAAAAGAAAATAGCTGAAAAGTAGGTGAAAATGCAGAAAGAAGCTTAAACTACCAGAAGGAAGTGGAAAGAGCTGAAATGAGCTAAAAAAAAAAAACCATGGCATTAGCTGAAAACGCCAAAGTTAGCATAAAAACGACTAAATAGTAGCTGAAACAACAGAAAAAGCTGAAACTAGCAGAACAACTGAAAGGAGCATAACAAGCTGAAATTAGCAGAAATAAGTTAATTAGGCTGAAAGTAGCAGAAATCACTACAAAAAACGTGAATTTATTCGAAAACTGCTTAAATTAGCAAAAAATTGCTAAAAGGCAGCTGAAAAGTTAGAACAATCTTAAACGAGCAGAAGAAAGCAGAAAGAACACGTTTGCTGAAAGAAGCAGGATTTAGCACAAAAAAGTGGAAATGATTTGAAAAAAGCTGAAATTAGCAAAAAATAACTGAAAAGTAGCTAAAGTAGCAGAAAGAAGCTTAAAATACCAGAAGAAAGTGCAGCGAGCACATTTTTGCTGAGTTCGGCAGAAAACTTTTGAAATGAGTGCAATAAATGTGGAATTAGCTGAAAAAGCTAAATTAGCATCAACAGCTAATAGCAGAAAAAGCTGAAAATTGCAGAAAACAGCAGAAAGGAGTATAACAAAGACGTTTGAAGAAGCACAAAAATATTGTAGTTGGCAGAACAAATCTGAAACAAGCACAAACCAGCTGGAAAAAACCCAGCTGAAATTAGCTGAAAACAAGTTTAAATTTGCACAAGGAAGCTGACAGAAGCTGAACCAGAACAAAATGTGAAAGGAGCAGTAAAAGGTTGTAAACACATCTAAAGATTTGAAGGAGGTAAAATGAGCTCAATTCATTTTCTGAGAAAAAAAAAAAGTGGCAGAAAAGACTAAATATTTCAAACAGCTAAAGTTGCACCAACAGCAAAAGTCATAACACCCTTCTCCTGAAAGAGCTGAACGTTTTGATTTATGATTTATTGAAATAGCACAAAAATTGTGGAAAGAGAAAGATGCCTAAAAATGTACGGAAGAATTTAGAAGTGGAACTCTTAGTGGTGTGAACGCTTCATAAACATTCACGCAATAAAGGAATGGGAAGCGCCCGCCACGCTTCATGCAGGGGCTTGCTCACACTGCAGGTCTTAACTTTCAGTTCTGATTTTTTGTGTGGTCGTTCACATGACAACAAACGTGACCTCCATCACGCTCCAGTGTGAACTCTCCACGGTCCCGAAGCAACTCGCAGAAGAAGACGTGGCGTCACACGCAGCGCTCGCCTGAAGTCTGTGCAATCAGAACCGAACGAACTATTATCTGACGGGCTCGTTTGGCCCAGTGTTTACATTTAGTAAGGCCACTTGACGGCTCCTCCAGGGCAGAATTGTATATTTGTAAGGAAAGTGAAGTACTGAACGTAAAAACAAACTCAAGTATCGATCCCATCATGTTAGCTAGCATCGATACGTTCCGACACTAATGTTAGTATCAAATGTTGCTGTGGATTCTCAGTCATCCAGGACATTGGAAATTGAAAAAGGCAAAGCTAATTTATTTCTGTTCTGTAGCTGAAGATGTGTAGTTTTAAGATTTAAACTGCAGGACGTTGGCACGGACATCATCAATACTTGGATTGACCCGCTTACACCTACCTCGCTGACTTAAAAGTCAGGTGAAATGCGACATGTCCATTCAAACTGGAGCCACGTTTTGATTAAAATCTGTCCCCTGCGTCATGAGATATTTTGCTAACACTACAGATGACACACACAAAGCTCTGTACTGTACTTACTGTTAACTCATTATTACTGCTCAACTTTCAGCAGCGATACTTAATGTATGTGCATATACAGTACGTAGCAAACGTACTTGATGTTGCTGGCGTGGCCATTTTTCAGAGCGTCGGGGAGGTCTTTGCGCTGCCGCATCTGCTTCAACAGCTGCAGCAGCTCCGACTCCGCCTGGTGGCTGTTAGGAAGAGTGGAGGCGGCGGCGGATGATGCTGCAGTCAAATAAGGATCCAAAGTCTCGCTAAAAACACAAAGCAAAGAAATGAGCTTCAGCTACGCTCTGCAAAGTGGAGGAAAGTTTCCACGAATGAAACAAAAGACTTAGGTTGTTTTGAGGCATAACACAGCACAAATGGAGTGAAACAGAAGAAACACGAACTTTAAAAAGACTAAACTTTCCTGTGTTTTCTCACCTTTGTGACGGCTTCATTGTCGCCTTTTGAAACATACTGTTGGTGCTCGCCATCTCTTTTGGCTTGGACTGATTTTGTACAGCAGACTCAAAATGTTGACTTAGCGTCAGCTTTTTCAGCATTTTTTTATTGGTAACTTCCACCTTCATGGCTTTGAGGAGGTCCAGGAGGTTTTCCTTTCCACTTTTAGCAGCGTTGACTTGTCCTGGCTTTGACCAGACCCGTTCGACTTCAACCCCAGCCTCCTGAGAACTGGTTTGTCCATCGTCTTCCTTCAACACCGCCGGCTCCACTTGTTGTTCGGCCTTTTGTGTCTGACTACTTTCTCTCTCCGCATTTGTTGTCTCACCTTGACCAGGAGGGTCTTTCTTTTCGCAGAGTCTGAATGAACTTGTGCTGAGAGTGTTGACTCCAACTCCATTAAAAGTCCTAAGTTAGGAGGAAAACAACATTACTTAATCAGAAAGAGAGAAAAGTGTAAATTGTTATTATTATTATAATACTGATTAATCAGAGTAAATAAAGAAATATGGTGCTGGTAGAGATGTTTCACTGTGCACGTCTAATTAAATGAATGAGTTTCTATACAGGCACAAATCACGTTATATGGCAGTTGCCTTGGAAACAATAACCTGAAATGTGATTCAAATTCGTATTGCCTCATAATGCAGGTAAATAACATCCATTTAAAGTTTAAGTCCTCTAATAAATGTTAGTAAAGCCCGAACTATTTAATATCCAGCTTCAACCTAGCTGTTCTGTAACACATCGGAGTAGCAGCCATGTTTCTCTGAAGGTCCTAATTTCTTTCCCGGGTCGTCCCCAGACTCACCTGGACGCCTTTTTACATTTAGTCTGGCACGGCTCGTGAACGCAGACTGAATGTTTCCGCGCGACACACGCGGTCCGGGATAAAAGCCGGTACATTTTCGTCTTTTGTTTTGCCCTTTTTCGTTACAACGTTCTCCTTTGGTACTACGCTTTAAGCCACCCCACCGGAAAAGTTGACAGTAACAATTGTTCCGGCATCGAGCCGGAAGTCCGTTTATCCACCTGAAAACTTCTGTTTCATTTTAATATGTTTATTTATCTGTACGAGGTGCTTTTTATGTCTGACAATAGTACGACGATTTGTATTCTAAATAGCAATTTGTTTATTGTGCATCTCGCTTAAAAAATGAAAGTAATGTACGCTTTCTTAAATAGCAAAGCACATTCTGTACATATAAATTATAATAGCTGCACACAAATTTTCTTGAAAGTATCAAAAATACAGGACCGTTTGACACCTCTGGCTTTTATTTATTAGTGAATAAATGGTTAAAAATACGTTTCCGACGACGTGGGTGGATTTCCCGGCAGGGGTGCATTTATGAGCACAACACCTATCAGAGAACGCGATGAGTTTAGTGGCGGTCTTTATGGGGAAACTGTTTTTTAACGTTATTATTTGTGCTACGTTTTACCAATGAAGATTATCAGATAAAGCAATTATTCTTAAAACACCGTGGTGTTCATTTAGGTGAATAAAAACGCAATTGCTAGCGGTGGAGTGTACAAATGGAGCTGTCAACGTAATCTCGCGATATTACAACAGGGAACGTGACTCAAAATGGCGACAGAGCGTAAGCGCTAATTCAGGAGTGAATGTCTCAGCTGCAGTCCTTGATCAAGTTAGCCTTTCACGTTGAAAGATGGATATTATCATAAGAGAAATAACTCTGCAACATCAGTCTTGTTGTAAAAATTAACATTTTGTTTTCGTTTAATTTTCCTGCTTCAACCGAGAAGGAAAAGGAGAACTTCACTCAGGTTAGAAAAAAAAACCGTCAACGGAAGCTACATTATTAGCATAGGAGCTAACAGGCATCACATTTAGCGCAAACGTTAGTTATTATTAAATATATAAGCAGACTGTAAGAGCTTTAAAATTAGGGCACCCTTTTTTGTTTTAAAGATCTGGCATTTTTTCTGTGTCTATACGTTTGGTGCCGCACATTGTGAGTTACTTGTCAAAAAAAGTGCTTTGCCCGCTTTCACGGAGCTCCGTGTGTTTACATGCAAGAAGTGTTTTTAAGTAACCGTAAATAAATGTTATCTTTTCGGTCTTCTCGTGATGCATTATCAGACAAAATCGCGTCTTATGTGATCATTCAAAACGTCTGTTTTCATGTTAAGTTGTTCAAGTTGATTTAATTGTACCTTCAGGAGAGATGCAGGTGGTTATTTTAATCAAATGGCTGGGCTAATTGTAGAAATCCTTGTCTGTTTATGTGGAAAAAGTTTGCCATATTCGGTTGGATGAGCATCAGTGTTTAACTTCTCACCGACTGTGATAACAACGTGCAAAAATATAATGTAGTTGTTGCATTTATTGTTGGTCTTTTTCTTGTAATTTGTATTTATGGCATGCACCATCTGACCGGTTTCTGTCAGGACTGTGTTGTTTCCACAATCCTTCATTGTGGAAATATTGTGCTTTTGTAAGTTTTTCTTGTCTTATAGATTACTTGATGCTGTTTAGAGGTGTTAGACCAGCTATCAAAATACTTGTTCTGATTGTTTTTAGTTTCCCAATGAAACACTTCATGTGAGAAGTTCCTCTTTTAGGGACGTGTTTCTAATATAAGCAAGGGAAATCTTGTACCTGTTGCTGCGACGTGATTTAACCTCATACGTTTCTCTGTAGTAAAAGCTGTGTCATGTTTTAGACAAATAAAGAAGTGAGCTTCAGGAAGATACAGTCTTTGACACAAATGAACTGGAGTTAAAGGACTGTCAGTAGGTGAAGAATGCACTTTAAGCAGAATAAATATATGCTAGAAGGTTATGGCACAGATTACAAAATAGTGGCTGTCAGTATTATTTTGTAATACTATAGTTTATTTTCTTCATGGTATCTTGTAATCTCTATGTGTTGTTTGAATTAATTAATGCAAGGTAAAAAGCAGTGTCCTGATGTTCTGTTTTGTTACACCAGCCATGGCGGAGGAACGCCGGCAGAAGCAGTGTTCTGTCGTCCTGCCCACGGAGTCGATGAAAGCCATGGCGGAGTCTATCGGCGTCGGGCAGTTACAGGAGGACAGCTGCGTAGCCCTCAGTGAAGAGGTCAGCTACCGGATCAAAGAAATTGCACAGGTGAGTGAGGTTTTGTCAAATTGAATATAAATGTAATTACCTTTGAATGATGTTTGATGCCCCCCCCCCCCCCCCCCCCAATCTTACATAGGATGCGCTGAAATTTATGCATCACGGAAAACGACGGAAATTAACCACCAACGACATCGACAACGCTCTCAAATTAAAAAATGTGGAGGTAAGGGTTGATGACGTGCATGTTTTCTGCGCACGTGGTTTCGGTTTGAGTCATTTGATGAATTTCAGTTCTGTTTTAAATACATTATTTTTTTGTTTGTTTGTTTAGCCCCTGTATGGGTTCCAGTCGCAGGAGTTTATCCCTTTTCGCTTCGCGAGTGGCGGCGGAAGGGAGCTTCATTTTTACGAGGAAAAGGAGGTCGACCTCAGCGACATTATAAACACGCCTCTTCCAAGAGTTCCTCTAGATGTTTCTCTTAAAGGTATCGCCAGTTATCAAAACTACATGATGATTTTTACCATTAAATTGAAGGGTCGAAGTGAATAATTTTTTTTATTAACCCGCAGCTCACTGGTTAAGTATTGAAGGGATGCAGCCATCAATTCCAGAAAATCCACCACCAGGTTAGCTTTGTTTTCACTTTTCTTTATCTTAAAACGGAAACAAAGTTCTAAACGTGAAAGAAACTTTGGAAATAATTTTCAGGGGCGGCTGTGGCTGAGTGGTTAGAACAGTTGTCCTCCAACAAGAGAGTCAGAGCCAGAGATTCTTTATTGTCATTCGCACCTCATGTGGTACATGTGGTGGAGCGAAATTATGTACACAGGGTCCCAGTTACATCCAACAATAAAATGTATAAGAAAAACAGTAATAACATCTAAGATATGAACTAAGAAAAACATCAACTAAATATACACTAAGCACTCATAACATAAAAACATTGAACATCAGCACAAACATGAACATGAGTCTGTGAGCAGATGTGCACGCATGAACACATCAACATTTAAACAGATCAGCAGCAACATGAAACAGATCAGCAGCAACATGATATGGTTTTTCACAGTGATTATTCTAGTTAGAGATTCATGAGTCTAACAGCCTCAGGGTAGAAGCTGTTCCTCAGTCTAGTGGTTCTACACTTAATGCTCCT